CAGCAACAGCCGCAGCAGCCCTCCTGGCTGCGCATCGGCGTCAACGTCCTCGTCAATGGTCAGTTCGCCACGCTGCGCTACATTGGCAAGGTCCACTTTACGGAGGGCACCTTCCTCGGGGTGGAGCTGCGGACGCCCACCGGCAAGAATGATGGGACGATTGACGGCGTCCGCTACTTTATCTGCAAGTAAGCGCTGAAAAACGTTGATAAAATGATTGATAAGCAGGAGCTAACAAATCTTTTTTCCTTTCCCTTTTTTCAGACCCAACTGCGGCCTGCTCGTCCGCCCGCAAAAGGTCACCGTACGGGGCATCAGCGCGGCAAAGCTGCTGCCCGAGGAGGCGGCGGTGTTGCTGCCCACCCGGCGCAATGGCGCCATCATTGGCAAGAGCAAGGAGATCTAGAGAGACTCGGGTCCCAAAGCTGCAAACATGGATCACTCATTCACCCACACATATGGACCAATAAGACTGTGATATGGTGCGATGTGAAATATCGCTCGATATCGACCGTAAGTTTTTTAATCGATCGATATCGAATATCAATACACACACACAATTCCAGACTGACCACCACCAGGGCGCATCCCTCTGCACAGACAGACAGAAGGACTGAATTTTTGCACTTTCTCTTCTTTTTATACTCTTTTTTCAAGAGAGAGAGAATACTCATCGATTTCCTCTTCCTCCTCTTTTATTATTGATTCTTGTTGGCATTTTTTGTATTCTTTTCTTTTTGCTCACACACACACTTCACACATCTGCTCATTCTGACATTTTTTGATCAACAGCAGTAGCAGCAGCCGTAGTGATTGAAATTGATGATTTTACTCACAACCTTTTGTTGATATAAGCGCATACTTTGATCTTACTATTATAAAACAGTGGTTTAATAGTACTTCTTTTAATACTATCACGCTAGCATTTTATTTGGTTACTTGGTTGTCTTTTTCTGGTCACAGTTTTAGCAAGTAAGTGTAAGTAAGTACGTAAAAATAGTAGTGAAAAACATTCTCAAGAAAAGTCGTCGGTACAAAAAGTTTTNATTAAACAGTGGTTTAATAGTGCTTCTTTTAATACTATCACGCTAGTATTTTATTTGGTTACTTGGTTGTCTTTGTCTTCTTCTGGTCACAGTTTTAGCAAGTAAGTACGTAAAAATAGTAGTGAAAAACATTCTCAAGAAAAGTCGTCGGTACAAAAAGTTTTGGTTACCTGGTTAGATAGAAAAGTTAGATAAAAAGAGGATGAGAAAAGGAGCAATTGTTCAAGGGAGGGGGTGATTTGGTGAGCGTGCTGAAAACAGAGTAACAGCTTGAGTGGGTGTGTGTGTGTTGGCAGCAGTTGCAAAGGACACTGAGAGAGATTGACTAGAGTTTGCAAAGGAAGATTTGGTTGAGAAGGGAAATGAGAGAGGGAGAGATTGAAGAGACGATTGGATACAATTTCAAAGTTGATTGAGATGTGAAAGAGAGATAAAAGGCAGAGAGATTGTTTGGTCAGTTGTTGTCGATGGATGCAGGATGGATGAATGAGAGATTGAGATCGATCATAATAATGAAACTTTAAAGGCAGAGCTTGGAATGTGCAGTGGCCTACTTGTACCGGCCCAAACTCGCATAACTTCCTCCTCCATTAGCCATCATCTGCTTTCCACCACTGCTCGCCGTCGCCGAATCCAAAGAATTGGTGTGTGAAGCAGAAGGTTTAGTGGAAAATCCGCTAAAGTAGGACTCTCGCAGACTGATGAGCGCCTGCTTAGCATTGGGGTGGCCCATCAGCGGCGCCAGCCGCTCGGTGAACTTGTAGAAGTTGCGCTCCAGCTCCTTGTGGTACTCCACCTGTTGCTCGTGGCCGCTGACCAGCTGGCGATTTTTGGTCAGCGCTTCGCCGCACCTAGAGAAAAACGGAAAAAAGCTTTAGAAAAACCCAAACAAATTAACCCTCTTTTCCCTTACTTTGCACTAAAGTCCTTAAAGGCGGCGCGCAGCTTCGCCTGGTGACTGGGCGGCGGTCGCTGGGCATTGGGCGGCATGTTCGCCTCCGGCGCCAGAAAGACGTAGGCAATCTCCGCCGGGCCCTGGTTCACAGTCGTGCCGACGCAGCCCTGCAGCACCATCTGCAGAATCTTCGCATCGACGGGCTCCTGCGTGGTGGCCACCGCCAGCTCCTTCGTCTTCTTCTGCACGTCCTCGATGGCGACCTCCACCGGGGAGAGGACCATCTGGTGGCGATCGGCCACCTGCACCCGCGTCTTCACGTAGGGAAAGGCCTGGGCGGTGGTGAGCACTGTCTTGCGCTTGCACTGCTCGTAGAGCTTGCCGTGGGCGCGGCCGTCGAGGGTGAAGGGGGTGGAGAAGATGAAGCGCTCTGAAGAGGGGAGAAAATTGTTAAAAAATTTTAAAAAATCCCCGAAAATGTCACTCACTAATGTTGTAGTTGCGCTCAAAGGTGGCCATCCGAGACTCCAGCTCCCAGCTGTCAAAGTACGGCTCCACGTAGGTGATTTGTATGTAGGCTAAAAGAGAAAAAGTTTAATTTTTACTTCAAAATTCCCCAAAATCATCATTCCCACTTACCCTTCTCCGGACTGAGCTTCCCCAGATCAACCGGATTCGAGTCCTTGATCACCTCCACATGCTGGTGGCCAAAACGACTGCCGTAGAAGGCCTCCAGGCGGTGGGCTACCTCAGGGAGCTTCGTCAAAAAGCGCTCCTTGTAGACAAACTCCTCGCGATCGAGGTCACCAAAGAGGGCGCCGTAAAAACCGACCCTAAAATAGGTGGCAAAAACCCGCTTGCCCTCGTTCTGGTCGATGCGCAGAAAGACGTCGTGGAGGCGGCTGTGGACGGCGGCCAGCTCCTTGTAGCGGTGGTGGGCCTCGTGGATGGGAATCAGTAGCTTGTAGGCCTCATTCACCGCCTCAAAGCTGCCGCCGGTGTTGAAGTAGTGGGCGGCCATCTCCAGCAGTGAGACGAAGCCTAAGGTGAGAAAAAATGTTAATAAAGTCCAAAAACAAAACACACAATAACACTTACCCGTCTCACTGAAAAGCTTCGCCGAGCGAACGCCCAACTTTGAAGAGGAGGAAGAGGAGTTCGCCGCTTCCACATTCGAATTTGCCGAGTTTTCACCAACTCCTGTTCCCGCCGTCCTCTCCACTGCAATCTCCACCGCCGGCCCCAAACTCTCCTCAAAGACATTCGGACAGAGGCGCTGAAAGGCAACACAGGACACCGGAAGATACGGCCGCCGAGCCGTCTTGTGCAGACACTCCGCGACCAGGGCCGCAGCGTGGACGTAGCACTGCGCCGCCTCGAGGTGCTGACTGAGCTCCGCGTGCTTCTGCGCCATGTTCTGCAGCCAGGTGAGGCGGAGCTCCGGCGAGTTCTGGTAGCCCTTCGCCACGCGGTACATCAGGTCGAGCAGCATCTCCGGGTCCTGCTCGTGGCGCTTCATCTGCATCGTATCGGAGAGGATCATGTGCAGGTTGAAGATCAGCTCAGAGACCGCTTTGGGAAAGTTCTCCGCTGACGCAGAAGTAGAAAAAGTAGTCTTCGAACTGCCGCCACTGTCCATCAACGCATACCGGAGAATACTCTTCAGGGAGCGGCGAATAAACTTCTCACTAAACGACCGACTAGTGCCCACCAGCTGACTGAGCGACATGGTAATCTGTATCTTGATGCGCGAGAAGGCCGAGGGAACGGAGGAGTGCTGGCGCATNTAGTGCCCACCAGCTGACTGAGCGACATGGTAATCTGTATCTTGATGCGCGAGAAGGCTGAGGGAACGGAGGAGTGCTGGCGCATTAGGAGGAAGGTGGAGGCGGCCGCCTGCGCTCTGACGGCTTCCACCCTCGAGCCGCAGTGTTTGAGCAGGAGGTAGCACAGTTCGCTGCAAAACTCCACCTCAGGCAGGCCCTCCACGAACAGTAGCTCCGGGTAGTGGTGAAGGAGGGCCCGCTGGAGGGTGAAGGCCGCCTCGAGGACGGCGGTGGACTGCGTGGCGGCGAGAAGGGAGAGGAGGACGTGCAGCGAGCTGCCCACCACAAACTCGTCGCTGGCGTACCGGTTGCGCAGATTTACGCTGTTGGGAGTGTTAGCCGCTGTAGCTGAATTGGCCGTTGAAGTATTTGTTGAAGTATTTGATGAGGAAGAGGACACTGCAAAGAGCGAGGAGAAAGACGAGGTAGAGGTATGAGTGGATGAGGAGGAGGAGTAGGTCGTCGAGGAGAGCATCAGTGAGGTGGAGGAAGTGGAGGCACCGTTAGAACTGCCCAGCCGCAAGCTGCCGCCTCCCAGCCGCTCTCGGTAGATGCTGAGCACCAGCGACAGCGCATCGACGATGATCAGGCTGAAGGAGGTGCAGAG